TCTACTGAGTTATGCTCCTACTTTAAAAGCAGAATTTTATAAACAATAAAGTAATATAACTTAAAAACAGGTTTTGAAATGATTTAGATTACTTATAGAAGCATAAGAAATCCTTTAATGTGATTGTCACAGATAAATATTTACACAATTATCATTGTGTTCAACTTGTATCCCCCCCCCCCCTAAAAGCATTTAAAACATTTAAAAGATTGATTATAGGGGTTAAAACTCATCTTATGTGTGTTATTCAATTGAAGATTCGAGTAAGGATGAGAAGTTCCACGAATGGATTCCTGAGACACAAACGAGGCCTAAATGACATATAATGGCATATATAGGCATAATATTAGTGTTTAAAACAACTAACATGCAAGGAAACAACCTTAAGGATTAGGAAACACTTGAAATGAAGTGTTACAATCACATGTGATTGACTAAAGGGATTTTACTGCCAAAGGATGGTGTGTTCACAGCCACACTTGAGTTTACGGCCAAGGGAAGATGAGTTTACAACCAAGGCTCTATGTGTTCACGGTGAAAGGATAGTTTACGGCCACACCAAGTGTTTACGGCTGTAAACACTCCAAAATGATGCATTTTGGATCTTGATTCTTTCTAGTAGGGTGTTTGTCTCATGAGGATACAAGAGTTTCTAATGAATAACAAGATGGTAGAAGAAATACTCACACTTTGGATGACTTTAGGGTGTTCACGACCTAAGAACAACTGTGTGTTATTGGTGTTCTTGGTGAAAGATGATGATATTGAAGATCATGAAGGAAAAGTGATGAATCAATATGGAATCAAAGGGGTTTCTAAGTATACACAAGTAAGGGATGAGATACTTACGATTTTGAGGTGAATAGAGAGCCTTTATTGGATTATACTTGAGAGAGAATAGGGTGATTGCGGCCAAGAGAAGAAGAAGTGAAGAAAAAGTGGCAAAAATTCATCCTTATAGGAGGGGTTCACAACCTAACAAGGGTTCATGACCGTGAACATGGACCTCGGCCATGAACCTCACTTGTTGGGGTTTTATGGCTCATATGTTTTTCTGGGCTCTTGGTTCTTACTTGGTTCACTTCCTAACACAAAATCCTTGAGTGTACTAGGCTTAGAACTCATAAAATGATCCTTAATAATGATAAAAGATAGTAGAAACCAGTCTGACTCTTGATTGATTGGCTGGACTTACACAATAAAAATTTTCGGGTTGTCACACCAAGACTACACCGGATAGGCAAGTAGAATTCAGAACTGAATTTATGTCTAGTGTTGCTCCAATTTTCAAAGACTGCTATACAAAATAATAGCATTTGAATAATTGTCGACCAGCTGACTAACAGTGCACATTTTCTTGCCATACATGAAACATATCCAATAAAGAAATACGCACAAGTATACTTGGATGAAACTATTGCGATATATGGTGTGCCTCTAAAGATTACTTCCGATCGTGATAGTAGCTACACTTCTCATTCTCGGGCAAGTATGTAATGTGAATATGGATCTCGTGTTCCTCTCAGCACAACTTATCCTCTCCAGACAGATGGTCGGAAGAAGAGAACAATCCAAAAAGTAGAAAATGTAATGAAGGTATATGAAACACTTTATGGGTGTAAATGTCATACTCCATGTAAGGTCCAAATTTGCTTGTGTATCAATCACATCTACTTGATGGTGCAGAATCCCAATCAAACGGATGATGTCATATCAAATAGAAGAGAATGAGAAGAAGATGATGATGAATCTTGTATGTATTGATATGAATGAAGATCCAGATACAAGATTCACACACACACTAACACAGTCTCTTTTCTCTCTCTCTCTAGAACAACTTCAAATGCACACACTTAAGCTACTCTATTCTATTACAATTATGCACTCATCACCATATATATAGTAGATATGGGTTGTGAATGGGTTTACGGTCGTAAACCTGTTCGGCCGTAAACACCAAGTTGTTTACGGTCCAAGAAACAAAAAAAATACATTTTCCTAGAAAAGAAACGTATAAACCATATTTTTGACCCAATACTCCATTATGTTGGCATGATGTAGGACAGAAAGTCGTTGGTGGTCCTGAAATGATTCAAGACACCACTGACAAAATTCAAATTATACGAGAAAAAATGAAAGCGGTGCATGATCGGCAGAAGTCCTATGCAGAAAAGAGAAGACAAACTATATAATTCCAAGTGAGTGAATTCGTAACGCTGAAGGTATCCCCATGGAAATGAATTATGCTTTTTGGGAAGAAAGGAAAATTTAGTCCTAGATTTATTGGACCTTTCAAAATCATCCAGAGAATTGGTAAGCAAGCATACCGTTAGGAATTGCCAGAAGATTTAGCAGGTATTCATGATCTGTTTCATGTAAGTTATCTGCATAAATGTTTAAGCATATATGATGAAACAATCCCATTATCTGAGGTGAAATTGGATAATAAATTAAGATATGTAGAAGAGCCTGAAAAGATCATAAACGAAAGAACAACTGAAATTACGAAGTGGAGTTGGTGTTTGTCAAGTGGAAACACCAACGAGGCCCAAATTATACTTGGGAAAATCAGAATGAGATAAGAATGAAATATCCCCATTTGTTTAAATCGTTGTGATTTTGGGGACGAAATCTTCAAAAGGATGAGGTATTTGTAATATACACGTTCAACTATCGTGTTTTGTTAATTTTAAATTGAATATTATTAAATAATATATTGTTTTCAGTAATGAGTTCTAACAAGATAGTTTTATGATAATTGAAGTAAAACTATGTTTAGAATCATTGAGAAAAGTATTGGAAGTCTTATGGGATTCCAATCAAAAGTTAAATATTGAAATTAAAAAAAATATAAGATTTAAGTTGGAAATAAGTAGAAATAATGTTATTGAAAGTTGTAAATTATCTCGTTAGAAACGTTTAGATGAAAACCTCATCGAAATTCGAGTTATAACGAAGAAATTATAACTTATTGAACTTTCAAGACAAAACCGGCACGACGCCGTATGATGTAAAAAGTGAGTTAATGATAAACTACTTTTTAGCTTTAATGATCTAAATGAAAGTCATAGTATTCGTTAAACCAAGAACTTTCATAAAAAGAACGTCAAAATCTGACTTTGTATGAGGAAGTTATGATTTTTCTAAGATTCGGTATAGTAGTAAACAACTAAAAACTTGAAATAAAGATCGAGTGATTTTTAGGTATCACAACATAAATGGGAATCAAAGGTATCGTCAATAATAGTACAACGGTAAAAAGACAGACGAAAACGGACATCAGATGAAGAAGTCATGAATTTTGAACAGATTTTCCTGTCCCGACTCGTTAAAAATTATAATATTCAAAATAAATTTAAAATTAGCTGACGGAGTGTAAACGAAAGTTGTAGAGCATAATCTCACATTCGCATGGATATAATGAACGTAAAATCCGGAGCTCCTATGCGAAAGATATGGATTTTTGAAATTCTAGGCACAAACTACGAATATTATCCGAAGCTTTACGCCCAGCGTGCACGAGGCTACGGCCCGCGTACCTCGCACACAATCAATCCGGAGTCGTCCATGTCCTACTCTCCTTTGCATGCAGACACGTATTACGCTTTCATGACACGTCTGAGGCACAAGATCGGAGTAGATGCCACGCCTCGTACGCCCAACGTACTGTGAGGCTCCGGTCTTCTATAAATAGTATGCAAATTCTCCCGGATTTGTTTGGAAAGTTTACACTTTTACACTCTTTTCTTCATTCTAACATACTTTAACCCTCCCCCCCCCCCCCCCCCCCCCTTGAAGTCCAAGTATCATCCCCTACACCAAAAGCAAGTCCCGACGCAGGAAAGACCCCAAGAAATAATATTTTCAAGTTGAAACTTTGCCCGTGCAAGGCCCAGTTTTCAACAAAAATCCTCGATTTCATCAAGAAAGTCATTTTTAGAGATAAAGTGCTGCCCAAATCAGCATTTTATCATTCAGTTATTTCACGGTGAGTTCAATATATATGAACAATTGTATGTTGTGTGTTATATGTGTTATGTGTTTTTCTATGTTATTTTCCCGTGTTATTATTTCGTGCTATTATAATAGCAAAGCTATACCTTTGACCATGTGATCAATGAAAGGACTAGTATCACAGTGGTATTGGTATGTAGCCTCTTGCCTTGTAGAGCATGTCTCTCGTAAGAGAATGACTTCTACCCCTATGGCATTGGCAGAAGGTTAGATATGGCTAAAAGCCTAAAATCTACTAAAATATTTCATCAGAAATTGTATGTCTTCTGTGTTATTTGAGCCAAAACTTTATTGATGTATATCAAGTATGGAAATTATTATGTCTCATTAATTGTAAATCTTTGAATCAGATCATTTGTTGACATGGAAAGTTTACCACATGATTTACATATGTCTTTGTTGTTCTTTGTTCCTCGTTGTTTCTGTGATATTGGTATATATATGACATAACATTATATTGTATCTATTTTTGAACTCACGAAGCGTCGCCACTTATCCCTCTCAGTGTTTAACTATTGTAGTTAATAAGTATCCAGTATAGACACATACTATTGGAAGATTTAGAATAATCCAAAAAAATTACTATTGTATTTAGTGATCATATATGTAAAAAATTATAATTTTCTGGGTAGTTATGTAGTATATTAAAACTTAGTCAGTTTGTATTCGGTGTTTTGTAATCAAACTATCAATGTAAAAAATATTGTTTTATAAATATGCATGTAACATGTTTTGGAATAACATGATGTTGTTTTAGAAAGGGGTTCTTTCATATAGCTTTTCATGTTTAGTTTCTTTTAATTAGCTTCGAGATTAAGAAAAAGTTTACGCTTCCATGTTTTATGTTTTGATTAATAAATTACCAGCATTTTGCTCGCACGTATAAGGATAAAATTGATCAAGGCATTTGCATGTCTAGAAAAATATTATTCAATTGTCTGTCTTTTATTTAACAGCAAGGCTTTATTAAAAACATTCAATTGTCTGTAATATTTATTAGTAAAAATCAATTAAAAGCTTGGCATGTTAAGGGATAAATTCGATTAAGACCTTGGCATGTCTAAGGATAAATTCTATTATGTTTGACATGTTTAGGAAAGATGGACCTCATACTACTTGTTATAATTATGATGAACAACAAAAAAGAACTAGAACAACCAAGAGCATATAATTTAGTATGGAAGTTCTTAAAGGAAAAGAACCACAAGACACTACACTTATATTATTATTAAAATCGATTAGCGCTAGAGAATTAGGATGATTAGAATGCCTAAACTATATTATTTATAAAGTACGAACTATCCTAAAAACGAAGACCGGCAAACTACCAACAAAAGATTATGTTTCCTGATCCTAATTAAAGACTTGGAAACAAGAAAACCGAATATCTTGCAAAGAGGAAGAACTTGGCTCACCCTTCATCAACTTCATGAGGCCTGTAAAACAATGCAAAGTATTTGATGTAAAAGTTTTTTATTTGTTGAAAAAGGAAAACAAATATGAAAAGCATAGTGAATAATCCAATCAATTAGCCATCTATGGAGCTGTTAAATAAAAGTTATTATAAAAATAATATAATTAGTGGATGTTAATATCATTTAGGGTTGTCTAGAATTGAATGATCACAAATTCCTGATCATCCAATTCAACGAACATGGGACATTCGAAACCAAAAGAGAATAGATGATATGAAACTAGCTAATATCCTCACTATATTGATTACGAAAAGAAGAGCCGTTAAGACTAAGAAAAAATACTTATAAATAAACGTGAATCATCCACACATAAACATAATACCTACAAAAACTTTTCATATATAGTGCAACACAAAGAAAATCCAGTCGAGAAAATCTTATAACAGCTTGAAGACGTAACACTGACCTAATTCTCGTTGCTTTCCCATGGCTTACCAAGAATCGGAAAGTCAGTGAAATGATGCTACAAACAAAATAATACTTCATTATGTATATTTTCGGAGCATACCAACCAATGATATGCATCATTAATTAATTTTTGAATGCCATTTTATGAGTGAGCTACTCTAGATTGTCAGTTATTTAGGGAATATATGAACTGAAAATAGAATATTTTACCTCATAAGAAGGTCCAGGATTATGCTGATAATTAAACAAGAAAGATGGGCTCCAACTGTTTGGCATCGCTGACGATTTATCACCAACAAACCCTTGCTTAATTTGAATATGGGAAATTGGATATTCCGCTTGATCAGTTGTTTGAACTTGGTTTTCTCCAAAGGGAATCCAAGACCCTAATCGATTTACATTTTGATTCATCACCTGATCGAAATGTGGTCTAAATTTAGAATACTGATCAGACCCAGAACCACCAACATCACCTCCACCGATCTTGTTATTTCTCTTTTCAGTTGTCCTCTTTCTTGCCCTTGCTCTTGCTTGTTCCCTAGTTTCTTTAGCAAGAGAGTGATGAATATACGCACTTTTCCTAACTCCTCTATCAACCTTTTTCTTCTCTTTGTTACTGCTAGAGGAAGTAGATTTAGCGTTACCTACTCTCATCACCGTATCTTCCCTGATTTTCTCCATAGATTGATCTTCAATTCCAGACATAACTTCACATTCTGAAGCAGAAGAACCGCTGTTTGATAGACCAATGAGACTGCAAGTACGGTCTAACTGTTGTGGGAGTAGATCTTGAATAGCGGGTTTTGATTTCATGAGCAGCCAGTCGACAGTATTGCTGGCCTTATCGAACCCAAGCATATCTTGCAACCTGAAGAACCTTTTTGCAACATCAAGAGACAATCTCATCCTTCGGTCCCTTGGGCCTTGAGCTGTGTTTATCTTGCTGTGACGATCTTTCTTGGAAGCTTTCTTTCCCTTTAAAGAGGTATTCTGAAGAATTACATGAGTGTTAAGGTGATCGTTGCCAGTAGCTGTAGCGTATTTTCCGTTATTGTAGCTTGGCTTTTCCATGGTGTACTGCAGATTACTAGTCTTCCGAGTTGAGTGTTGATGAGCTACAATGAGAGTGTCGTGAAAATTATGATCAGTAGAGAAGGGTCGTTGCTGTTGTTGGAAAATCTCAGGTTCGTGTATGTGATGAGGGCCATACAAGGTATGTGAGGAAGAGGATGAAGGCTGGTAATAATCTTGAGAGGGTAATTTTGAATGATTTTGAAGATTAAAGTTGATGAAAGAAGTCTTTTGGTAGTTACTTGTTGAGAAAGAGGTGTCCCGATTGCTGTAGAAGGAAGGATACATCTCCTTATAAGTCTACTTTCCAGAGAGTTAACTACATATATATTAGATATGTTGACTATACGTATGATAGATCTAGAATGGACCTTTGAGAGCTTAATTTAGTAGTACTAATCCAAGACCTATCACACTACAAGAGAGAGAGAGAGAGAGAGAGAGAGAGAGAGAGAGAGATGCATTGAATCAAGTTAAGTGTCACAATATGAACCGATTCTCTCTATCCACTCAGTGAGGACTATACCAACTAAAATTTTCCATGACAACACCTGGCCAGAGTACTAGCTTAAAGGGTTGCCTAACTTTTACTCCAAAAGGTAAAGATAGGAATCAATAAATCTTCATTTTTCCAATGGATCCTTTATTAGGGCACTACAAATATATGTATAATGTCTGATATATATGCATAAAAACAAACGGAAAATGACGTCTATTTCTGTCACATTCAGCGTTTGGTTATAGCTCAAATATTGCTCAATGATCACTAGAAGGCATGTCATCCGCAAATCCAAGTTCTCCATTCATTAAATCTTATATGTATGCGTTCTGTTTTACAATAAAACAAAACTTAAATAAAGCACTCACAGCGGGATGTAAAAGAGGAAAAGATAAGGAAAAGGAGAAAAAGAAACAAGTGAAAAAGAGCCTCTGCCCTAAAATATCCAAAGTAGATAATATCATAATAACACCTGAACTCGGAAGATCAAGAGCTTTATATCTAAATAAACTGCACGTTTAATGTCAGATCACTAAACGTCCAAAAGCTAGCAGGCAAACCAACCAAGAACATCACCATCATGAAGTGAATGATCATCTAGGTGTTTTCCTCTAAGATTTCACTTATATAGTTTCTGTTGGCATATATTCTAACTCTTATTTGTCTTTTTACTTACATAAACCACTTTATTTATGTTTGTTAAAAGATGAGCTTTGTATTTTCTTTGTTGCGTTTACAAAGGCCAACGAAAATCGCCCCTAAAGATAATTGCCGCGATAAATTTCCGCCAATGTGTTGCCACTGTTGCTCCGACACTGTTGTTCAAAGAATCACAGCTAAAGAAAAATGTCGCCACTAAAGGCGCTTGTGCCACTGATACCCTTTTTTATTTTTATATTTAAACTGTCCGTTCAGGTGCAGAAAACCTATAGCAAATAACAAAAACATGATATTAAATTCATAAGAAAATGATATATGATGACATGTTAACCTTAAGTACCAAAGCGGTTACAATTTTGTAGATGACAAAATAAATACTAAAAGTATTATAAAGTTATGTTATATAAAGTCTAACAAAATACAAACTAATTCGACATGTCAACATCGTGGTTTCCTCTTTTTCCTTAGTGTCATATTGGTTCCCCTCGCTTCCTTCCGTATTACTTGGTGATTTTGAAGAATGAAAAAACACAAGTAGTTTTGTACTAGCTAGACTCTAGGTCCTTGAGCATTGCTCGAAGGTTATCCAACTGCATAATAAATAACAACATAAATAAACTTATATGTTCAACTATCAACATAAAAAATTACCAAACTAACAAACTGTAACAACCCGAAATTTCCATTCGGTCAAACCCTAAAAGTCAACCACTTCATATCATAAGTCAATGTCATTATTTCTTATTTTCAAGAAATATAAAATTCGTTTGATTATTTTAATATTATTTTTAAACGAACGGGTGAAAGAAAGTGTCGTTGCGGGTTTTGAATTTTAAAAACCGCAAACACTTCGCGTCTTAGAAATTCCCGACCAAACTTTTATGTTTGGGTTGAAAAATCACCCAAAAACCGTGAACTCATACCTATGTATGAGTTTACTCCCCAAAAAGCTAGTCATTTGTGTTTACTCCCCAATAGTCAAAAGAGTAAACTCCAAAAACTCTCTCAAGTATCATCCAAGATTTAATTCCAAATTTTCAAACTTGTAAGTGTTCTAACCATTTCAAGTTAGTATATCACTTAATCTAATGATTTTACATCCTTTAATCCATGCATTTATGTGTTTTGACTAGTTTTTCCAAAACACCAAGAACACACACTAAGTGTTCTTGGCCTTTTAGCTCAAATCAAACCTTCTACGAGTAACTGCTTCCATCCTTAAGTGATTCTAAGCTAGTATTATATTTAAACATCAAGAATTTATGCCAAGAACACATGTGTAAAGGTGTTCACGGTCCAAGGAGAGGCTTGGGCTGTAAACACCCTAAAATGCACCAAAGTGTGCATAAGTCCTTCTCAAAGCCCTAGTTTGATGTTTAAGCCTTCCAAGAAATGATTAAACTTTCCTTTGATGTGTCTAAGCCTTGAAAATCACCAAATACCGCAAATATATGTGTTTACGGTTTGGGAATCTCCCAAAACCGTAAACACTCAAAAGTATGTCCATATGGGTTATTTTCCTTCCTTAGGCTTATAAACTAGCACATACACTTACCTAATTGTGTTAGGGACTTGAAATCTTGGCCATACACCCTTCCATATGGGTTTACGGTTTTTGAACCCAAAGGAAAAAGCCATGAGGCCATAAACTCCTCAAATGTGGTGTTTTGTTGCCCTAGTCCATTCCAAAGGCCAAACCACTTAGTAGTAATGATTCAATGGCTTGCTAAACCACAAAACAACACTTGGACTTTAAAACTAGAGTTTACTACCGTAAACTCTAGAGTTTACCACCATAAACTCCCAAAATCTTGACCATCAAAACCGTAAACTCCAAGAGAGTTTACCCTTGGACTCCAAGCACACTAGCTTTTCCCTACAACACTTAAATGCAACCCTTGAGACTTATAACACTTGTATAAAGTGTTTAACATGTCCTAGAGTGTCTTAACTTTCCTTATTAGTTGTTTAAAGACTAATTGTGTATATACATATATCCTTATATGTTATTAGGATCTTTGTGCGTGTCTAAGTCTTCACTTGACACCAAGCACTTATATGACACTTCCTTCCGATCCACTTACTACAGGTGAGTTCATACCCCTTAAATAATGTTTTAAATTACTTTTAAATGTTTTATGGGGGGGGGGGGATACAAGTAGAATCATACTAGTTATTATATCAATCACATGTGATTAATAAGTAGAATTATGCTAGTTATTATATCAATCACATGTGATTAATATGTAACATTCAATTGATTTACTACACATCAACGATTTTACCAAACAGTTTTCTTCAAATGATTTTTATAAACATTTTATATGTTTTAAACTCTTTATTACACTGTACATTTCACTCTGTATATTACCTTTCAAACTTATTTACAATTGTGTTTCAAACAAACGTTTCTTTATACTAAACTGTTTTACCAAACCCATGCCTTCAAATTGTTTTACAGATTGACATCAAGTCGATTTGTTCTTAAGATAATAATTATGTTCAAAGGTTTTACAAAACTTACTTTATGCTTTTATATTATAAATTGCATGCCAATATATGTATATTTATATGAATAATGTTTAAAAGACTTAGGAAGGCTATCCACCCTATTTCATTTTCGCGCTTGAGATGTGGTCTGGTGGGATATCGGGTACCCGTCCGAAGGTCATTTAAATATTAGTTATATATCATGTGTACATATGTAGTCATAAAGGTTCTTCCAGTTCAATCAATACCCTTGGGTAGCAAGGGTATACATCCATGTCCATACATACCAGTTAGATTACTAGTAAACTACTATACGGGTAGTTTAGGAAGATACTAGAACTATTACTAGAACACAATATCATACTATGAGTCAGTTCATTCATGAGTCAATACTTACTACTATGAGAACATATACAACAATACGAGAGAGGAACATATACAACTATACTAAAGAGGAACATATACAACTATACTAGAGAAGAACATATACAACTATACTAGAGAAGAACATATACAACTATACTAGAGAAGAACATATACAATGATACTAGAACGAGTACATTACTATGCATGCTAGATAGAGAGAGAGATCACACATTATAGTTAGCACACGTCGAACATTACAGTACATCACTATACTATTACATAGATATGTTTACATGATCCCTTACATGATCACATTTACATGAGAACAACTACATGATCACTTACATGATCACACTTACATATACATAGGATAGACGTCACTAGGTGCTATAGCATGGAACCAGTTCAGGATCTAACTATACCGATGAATCACAACGCAATTGTGATCGTTATATCGAGTATACATGATCATAGTAATGTGGATGCTCATGGCTTGCATACATGCAGGGGTCATGGGTAGGTCCCAAAATCCCTTTGAAAGGGAGCGTATAGTCTAGGATCTAGACATCACATTATACCTTATCCCTCAAATAAGGCAGTTGAGTACCGATGTGGTTATTTATTACAAATACTACAGTACTTAGAAGTATTACCTTAGACTTAAAGTAATTAGTACGGTTGTAGTTCAGTGCTACATCATAGTACTATTCCATTTTCCCATTACATTCACTTTGTGAACATTCACACGATGCACAGTAATGTAGAAACTATCTTTTTGATTAATGGTAGTCAGACTTAGGAAAATACACACTCCTACAAGACTACATTGAGAATAGTTAAGTCTTGGTAGAAGACTCCTTTTGTTACTAATAGGAATCATAGGGATTTCTAGGTTTTTTCAAACGTTTACAGTTGTTTTACAAACATGTTCATACTTACAATTCATATACATTTTCATACTTACAATTCATTTACATTTTCAATACTTACAATTCGTATACATACAAATACTTACATTTAAAATACATACAAGTATTTACATACAAATTAAGACAGTAAAATACTTATGATCTCACCAGCTTTAAAGCTGATACTCGCTTTCAAAATTACTTGTATCCTCAGGTCATCATAGACAGTTACCGATGCAAGGACTAGGGAAGATGGAGCTCGTTGAAGATTCATCTTTCATTTTGATTTATGCTTTAGTGTTTATCAAAATTTGACAGAACACACTTGTATAATAGTTCTATTATTAATGCAATGGATGATGTTGTTTCTTGTTTACTACTTTTCATTGTTGTGATACTGTACATGACATCCTCCGCCCCAGAACGTTTCCGCCGTTCCTGGTTTTGGGGTGCGACACAAACTAACAA